ATTTTCACCAAATATTTATGTTAGTGTTATCTATATACAGTTTAATTTTCAAAAATGTTTGACTTTTTTGAGTCATATATAGACCACTGAAATTTTCGATTTTTATGAGAATTTTTTTTTGAAGTGTCGGTAAAAAAATTTTGGATCACCAAAAAAACTTGAAAATGTATACAAGGTTCCTTATGAGTTGTTCTTATTGAAGATAAAAAAAATTAAAAATTGTTGGTCACAATTTTTTTTTATAAGCGTTTATAGTTTAAATTTTTAAATCATAAAAAAATGTTGTATTTATAACCAAGATATAACTATATTATAACTAAGTTTATAACATATGTCAAAATGCAATGTATAGAATGATGAAGTATTATACTAATATAAATATATCTACACTAAAATATAAATATATTATAATATTCTTATAGTATAGATGTAAACTCAGCTGGTGACTTAATTTTTTTATGTTAACTCGACCCGGAAATTAAGGTAATAAAAAAATCAATTGTAATCTCAGCCCTATAGTTTTTAGTTTTTATTGATAAAATATAATTAACACGAAAAAATGTAATCTAAAAAAAGCGGGAAGGCGGATGTCGCTCTGCTGTACATTAGGTGGTGGGGTGGACCTCTGACTAGGGTAGGTTAGATTTGAATGCAATAATAGGTGTCATTGTATACGAAAAACAATTCTGAACGGAGATGATTTGTCAGTCTAGGGATATATTATATTTAAATATTGTCATACTCGTATATTCTATTTTGTAAAAAAATATATTATTTTTCAATTAGGACGCATTTTTAATAAGGCATGGTTAATCAATTTCTCCAAAAACATTGCATGTAGTTATCATAATTCATAATACCTTATGGCTTATATTATCATAAATATACATATACCGGGTTTGAGGATAAATCGTTATCATTACACGATTTCATAAAAATTTAAAACTCTGATACGGTGTGGTAAGTTTAAGTACCAACCGTTCTTTGTAGAAATAAATATACCTTGGTTTTAGGATTTAATGGCTGGTCTTTTATTTATACAAGTAATATATTATTTAATATTTGTACAATATCTCGGGGGGAGTGAGATTCACGAATGCGTCAGTCAGACTTACACAAGCGGACTGACGTGGTGAGAGCTCGTGTTCGACCGACGATGTTATCGTTCGGTCCTATCACATATAATGGGTGTGAGATAATTATTTATATAGAATTATAAGATGGGAAGGAGTCCTCCACCAGTAGCGCGTAGCTTGTRCAAGCGGCTACTACTTGATGGAAAGGAGCTCGGGTCGACGGTACTTTAGCAAGTGGTCGGTAAGGGAGAGAACGGKRTCGATGACAGCAATCGYGTATATAATGTTGTATGACGTTCGGTCCGGTGGTTTCACTTGTCGTCCCGGATACTCAACGTCGTCGAATTTGTTGCTGCCGGTTCGATGGTCTTCGTTCTCCGACTATTATTGGTCGGCTGATTCTGGTCACRCTGCGTTCGCTTCGCCTCGACGCTGGTCTGCTCGGCGATCTGAACTTGAGCTGTAGAGTCGGTGTAGGTTGTTCTTCTGRTCTCTAGTCGTCGGTGTAGTAATAGTTCTTGATTACTTGTTGACGATTAGAGATGAAGTTGAAGAGTDAAGAGTTTCTGAAATCTACTGGTATATATACCCATTTGGATCGGTAAAGTTGTTGCTGATTGTTTGTAGATTGTTGGTATGACGAGTCATCATCGTATCGTTGCCTGGTGGCTGTTACTAGCTCAGTGCGGTTTTTCCTTGTCATACCGTTGAACTTTACTATGTAAAACCTGCCGTTTGGAACTGCGTTTAATATGTGTTGCATGTGGTTTTTAGTTGTTAGTGGTCCTGAAAAGGACCGTTTTATGTCGTACTCCGTTACAACTCAAACGCTCAAAACATTTTTCCTATAATGACGCTTCAAATTTTCTCTATAGCTATTTGAAGCAAAACTTATGAAAAACTTAGTGTTGAATTTTATAACCTTAGATATAAATATAAACAATATTATGAATTTTGAACTACAAAATAATT